GTATTTATCTAAGTATAATGATTTATCAAAATAAACTAGTCTGGCTGCCCTCAGTCTAATAATGACTCTCAGTTTTTCTGCCTCCATGTTGTTCAGACTCCGGGTCCATGGTGAGGAGCAGGGGCTGATCTGTGCCTCTATCAAATTATGGGCAGGAATATTTATTCACGCACTGGTTTGTAAATAAAACGTAGGTCTGACGTTGATGTTAGAAAAACTGTTTCTATTTCTATTTTTGTAATTGTCCTCGCAATACTGGTAAAAAAAAAACCCGCCAGTTCACTACAGGCAGTCTGGGTCGGTCCCACTGACAGATAGAAAGTATGTCTGTCTTTATATCAGAAATCCTGATAGAAAGATTCGATACCGACTGTCACCGCGAGTCGCAACGCACCTCAAAGCCCCGGTACCACTTGGTACCACCTGGCCAAGGACATTGTGGCTGTGATGCATCTGATAAGAGACATACAACATATCAATCTGTAAAAAGCAGTTGCATTTGTCTGTGTTTAATTCAGTTTCAAACGTCGTTCCCCTGTCTGGTACCGTATTATTCGTACAAACGCCTCTGTATTTAAAATATTTCACAACAGGTAGGATCTTCTAGTAAAAGGATTAGTGCATCTACAGCTATTCATTTTGAACAGGCAGGACAATCAGATGAAGGAAGTGATCTTCTTGTGGTTTCGTCATGGATATAAATTGTTCCAATGCTAAGCTAAGCATAAATCCTACCTTCCGGACACTCAAATAATATTATCCAATATATTTAACATTAACACAACCCGCTGAAGTTTTCTGTTTGTAAACATGACAGTAGCAGTTTTGGATGTTCAAGTGTTTTTGGATCCTGATCAATATCTCCAGAAAGATTTCCACCTTTCAAAGGATTCGATGAATAGTTTGATTAATCTTTGTGAATCTTCTGCATATTCTCAAACCATTTTCTAAGGAACTCTCCTCCACTCTTTTGATATTTAAAAATCGGACTGTCGGATGTAATTTCTGGGCATGGAAGAAAAAACTGGGTATTTTTCATTTATTTAAGTGCACAACGTGTTTTAGCTGTAACATAATAAACAAGCACACTTGTTACTAGATCTGTTCTATGAACTTTGAACAGTAAATGGCAGCAAAACCATAATGAATATAATTTCAAAAACTTTTCTTGGACACAGATGGGGAAGGATCATCCATTCTTGAAAATCAAACTTACATTTGCAACTAGAGCAAGTGAGATTCAAGCACTTGTGAAGAAAAGCTTCTCCGAACCACTTCCCATGGCAAACAGCTTCATAAACTACAAACCCACCTGTTCAGAGATGTGCAAACAGCATAAAAAGTCTGCACACAACCTCACACTGTAAGAGCTGTGTGCCACCACTAAACAAACAGCTATTAATATCTGTGTGCTGACCCATTTTGTTTGTTTTTAATCCATTTTGGATTAAATGTTTGCAACGTCAATAAGCAACTCATCACGTCATAGGTCATGAGGTGCAAAAATATGTTGTTTTAGAAACTTTCCTGGACAATTGCCTCTGATAAGCTAAAGTGCCTTTTATGGAAGTTGGTCCACATGGGAGGGCGAGCTCACAAAGGTGGAATGTTTTTCTAACAGAGAATGGTTGGAACGAGCATACTGGACACAGACTTTAGGCATTTTGATGCTGGACCAACAGAAGTCACTGGGCTGGGTTTACTTCCTTTCCTCCATCTGCACCGGGTGACGACGATGCAACGTCATCTGAAACCCAGCAATACCCGTCTTCAGGATTTCACAGTACTCCATCCATTTTAGGGTGATGCGAAGCACTAATTCTGCTCCACAAAGTGAACTTTGAAACTTTTGTGACGTTTAAAAGTATAAATGTTGCCTCGTGGCTTGTTCTCTGCTCAATAGTCTCCTGTTAATAGGTGACTGATCTTGTCTGGGCATGTTTTGCACTCGTGCCATACTTTTCTTGGTTCTCATTAATTTCCTGTGATTTAGTTTCATGGACACTTCATAATTATATGACACCATTTTGGTGAAGTCAGTTCAAAATGTTTTCTAATCCCCAGAGAAAAACCTCGGTGATCCACTCTGCAATTATGGGGCGTCACTTGTTGAACTTTGACTTAATCTCACATAACTGGAAATCGCTGAAGCATTTTTCAACATCCTTTCCACATTCGATGTCATCACTTGCATGCCGCATGACTCCAAACCACCAATAAATGCTTGTTCCTTTCAAACAAAAACAAAGGCATACTTTTTCAAGTTTAGGAAATTACCAAATTTAGTTATGGGGGATGCCGGAAAGTTTCTGCAGCTGACATCATTGACATCAAAAAATTCCTTAGATCATTCAAAACAAATGACTTCAGGTTAGTGTTTATATTTAGCTCTGGGTGTATGCTTAGTGTCATTTGATCAATCTAGACTGATTGGTTGATTTAACTAATTATTTTTGTAACACTGTTTTTTATATATCTTGCTTCTTTTCACAATATCCTCCTTTGAAACGTTGCCAGATCTTCTCAGTGCAAAAATAAGTAAGATGTATGTTCTTTTTAAATTGTCAGCTAATGTCGTAGTTTTCTTTGCAAATTTGATGTGAAGATGCATGAAGTGTAAATCCAAGCTCAGGATGGTTGTAAATGGCATAATGGAGTGGCATTGTTATGATGGCGTGCTGTCACGCTCTGCCTCTTTAAGAATTTCAAGGCATGAAACTGCAAAGTCAAATTTATTTATTTTTATTTAAGTCATAGCACAAAGTAAAAATTCTTAACGTCATCATAATATAATCATACCTCCAGAGGAAATTCAATTGGCTCTCTCCTTTCTTGTAAAGACTATCAATATTGTGTCTATAGTCTAGTCTGTTATTTATAAGAATTTATTCTCATTTTTTGACAATTTCCATTTCCTCTCTCTTCTGTGATTTCTGCTTCTCCTACGATCCAGTCAGGTCCTTTGTCTTGCTTACAGTCAGGATGAGATGAGTGGCTCACAAGCTTTCTGTGCTCACAGAAAGCACAAGTTTTCTGGTAGCTTGATATCAGACACATATCAAGTCATATCTGTCTGATGGTCTGCAGACGATCATTTTATGATTTGAATATGATCAATCAATCAATCAATCAATCAAATTTTATTTGTATAGCACATTTCAGCTACAAGGCATTTCAAAGTGCTTTACATCATAAACACAAAACACAAAGGCATGCAATATAGAATAAAATACCAAGTTTTTTTTTTCTTCCCCCTTCTTCCCCTCTTTCTTCCCCCTTCCCTTTGACACGGAATTTAAGCGCCTGTTACCGCCGGACTCCGCCGTCTGTTTAACCACGGGTATTCGCCGGGCCCCGTTGCCCACAACAGGAAAAAAAAATAAAAAAATTACATACATATTGCATTTCAAATACAACTCTAAACAGGTGCGTTTTTACTTGAGATTTGAAGGAAGTCAGGGTTTCCGCTCTTTTACAGTTTTCTGGAAGTTTGTTCCAAATTTTTGGTGCATAGATGCTGAAAGTTGCTTCTCCTCTTTTGGTTCTGGTTCTGGGGATGCAGAGCAGACCAGAACCAGAAGACCTGAGAGGTCTGGAAGGTTGATACAACAACAGCAGATCTTTGATGTATTGTGGTGCTAAACCGTTCAGTGATTTATAAACTAACAACAGTATTTTAAAATCTATTCTTTGAGCTACAGGGAGCCAGTGGAGGGACTTTAAACCTGGAGTTATGTCTCTATCTTCCTGGTTCTAGTGAGAACACGAGCAGCAGCTTCTGGATCAGCTGCAGCTGTTTGATTGATTTGTTGGACAGGCCTGTGAAGACGCTGTTGCAATAATCAATGCGACTAAAGATAAACGTATGAATGAGTTTCTCTAGATCTGGCTGAGACATTAGTCCTCTAAGAGTATCAAGAGTCTTTGCTCTTGGAGGACCAGTTTCCAAAATGTCTATGTTTCGGTCCAACACATGTAACACCAGTTATTAACATAAACTCCCTCTTATTTTGTGGACATGTCAAAAAAGTTCTGCTATACAAACTCAACAACTCACACAAATAACTCAGCAATTCACACAAGTGGATAATGTCACTGTGGTTTTGCGTATGTTCTTGTGTTTTTCAACTTGTAGTTGTATTTGTTGAAGTGGTTTTCACTTCAGGGCTACCACAGAGAAGCAGAGAGTGAGACCTGTGTTTAACACCAAACAAAGGGCGTGTGTACTTTCACTGCTCATCAGGAGACTTAATGAAGTAAATACAAGTGCATTAGTGAACCTTTCATATGTTGGTTTCTTTAGATTTAAAGGATCAGGTTGAAAAGCCTGGTTACAGCTGTATGAAAAACACAGAGACTTGTGTCAGCCAGCTTCTCTAAAAACCATAAACGCTGCAGCTCTGCAGAAAATGAACGGCTTATTATTAGCCTGTCGTTTCCGCTTTCAGGGCCTCTTAAACATATCACTTACATTTTAGTTTATACCAATAAACTAATCAAAACTTGATTAGCTTTGGTCAACATTGCCTTGCAATGAGGCCTTTTTTTTTTTTTTAAAGTTACTAACAAAAGGCAGATTAAATGGTCAGAAAAAGTCCACACAATTGTTTTGCAATGGCAGAGTTCTGTGGTGTAAATAAATGAGGTTCCAAAAAACATCTATGGTGTTAGCTCCTCAGCTTTAAATGAAATGATCCATCTATTTTGTTAATTGTTGTCTCTTTTTCAAAGTTCCAGCATGGTGACGCAGGAGGCTCCAGTTCTTCTGCTTCTGGGTTTGACTCTGTCAAAGATATACGGTTGTCCAGCTGTGCACTGCACACATTAAACTACACTGAGGATCAACGGGTGTGTAATATTTTTGCAAGAACTGTAGAACCGATAAAAGCCGACCCATCAATACAATAGATATTTTAGGCTGTCAAGTTACCCAAAACCTCAACTCCATCATAAATCATTCTATTGAGAACCAACCCAGTCAACTGCGAATGGCCAAAATCTTTATTTGAAAGACACCAGTCAATGCAAACATACAGTGTATTGATAAAAAAAAAACATTGTGAATAAACATTGAGTATATTTTTTATTTAAAAAAACTCATTCAAATACATGCAGTAAAAAGGAAAGGTTCAGAGTCACCATGTTTTCCATAACTACTGCACATGTTACAGTACAGAATTCACATTCATAAGAACTGATCGAAGTTGTTAGAAAGAAGCATAAGTCACAAAAATCTATGTTTATTTTTTTCGACAACTGATGCATTAACAATATGGGATTACAATGTTTATGTCTGAACTTGTTAGACATAAATATATATGTAAACGTATATATATTATCAAAGGCCACATTATATGACATCTATTAAGCTTATATATAAACAGTGTAGCTTTTGTCATAAACATGAGCAATAGTTCCCTGGGCAAAAATCTGCAGGAAAAAAAAATCCAGCAGCCTATGCAGACCCTGCTATGACAATGGATCTCCCCCCAAGACAAGGAGAAAATATATGGCGAAATGATGGGATAGCTTTTTTTCACTGATCGAGCTTCATTTTAACCATTGTAGACAGCAACATTGTAAAAATATATTATGATTTCAAAATGCAATCTGTCTCTTTAACAACTCTTACTCTTTCTGACACTCTTGGCTTTTGGGAGAGTCGAATGCACAGTTCCACTCGTAACTCTGCATTTGAAAGAGCAGAGCACACACTTCTTGGATTATGCCCGTCTGGCTAGTCTGAAGGAGTTTAGACGAGCTGCTGCTCTGTAACATGGAAGCTCAGAAGCTTAAACACTGAGCTTTGTTGTCGAGGACGGCACTCGGTTCTGATGTACATGACGTAAAGCTCAAAAAAGTCAATTTTCGATAATATTTCCCCCCCCTTTAAGATAAATATGGCGTGCAGATGAGATTACATTTCTACATATTTAGTGGCAGTAATTTCGGTTTTAAAAAAAATCACATCAGAATTTTGATATAGTAAAAACAGAGAAACTTTCCAGTTAATATAGTATAATGTGTACAGTAATTAAGAAGTTGCATGCATTGTATAAATGCAGCAACAAATGTTATTGCTAAAGTTAAAAGCTCTATAAATCCTATAGATTGTACGTATAGACTGTATTTGCTCACTTTGTTTTTTTAACCCATGAATAAATTTTTTGTGCTAATCTTTGCTTGTGGCCAAGTCTGTTTACACCACTCAAAGAGTCGACTCTTTGTGGCACCAATTCACAGCTGACACAGAGGAAAGAAAGAAATGTGTTCAAAAGGTAAAGGCAGTGATGTTATAAGGAGTAAGTGTTGCTTTTTAGTTATTTTACATTTTAAAGTGCCTCAAATTGGACAAAAACTCATTAAATAATGACAAGTCAGGTCAAGAATTTTTTAATTTAAGTTGTTTGAAGAGTCATTTGTACAGCTGAGCTCAAATATTCTCTTAAAAAGATGAGTCTATTTAACATTGATTATTTAATTTCCCAACAAATGTCAGAGTTTTTATTTGAACTAGGCGGAGTTACTGTTGATTCATTTTGTTTATATGCAAACATTTCCTGAGTCCCAGCCTGAAAAAGCAACAAAAACAGCCCTGAAGTTGCTAATACGGCTTGGCGCTTATTGCCGAGGCGATTCGGTTTTCCATAAGCACTTCTAACATTGTGTGCCTGGATAAACAGTGGCACCACTAGTGCTATAAATATTTATTTGTAAACATATTCTTGTCTTTGAATATAGTTATGTTGTTGTATTCCTGAAAGCAGTTAGCACCAAATCACATAACAAATCCCACTGTATTCTGACTTGCAAAAACAGCACCATCAACCCACTCCCAGTTCACAATGAGACCGTCGTAAAGATCCAGCTCGCATTGTAAAGTGTGTTCAAAACCACTGACTGTTAAAACCGCAATCATAACTGGGCTGTCTACATGGATCAGAGACAAGAACAGTCATTTGGGTCCTATAAGCTATCGCCCTCTACCGCAATCCTGAGACAAAAATATTGAGTATAGTTTAAAGGCATGATGTAGAACTGGTTCTTTGAATGTGGAAAGACAGACTGGTTCTTAGCTAAGTTGTGATCACACTGGTTTACCACAGCAAAAATGAGACGTAATACAGTAACAACAAGCATGTCAGACCAGCCACTGGCAACCTACTGAGAATACATACAGTGGACTGGAGAAGTGACATTGTGGTTAGTCAGTCAATACATCATTAAACAAGTGCATATTTTACACAGCTTAATTTGTGAAGCATATGGAATAGGTGTTCTTATGATATCAGGATGTTGAAGTACGGCAGCAGCCATTTTTCTCTTCACTCAATTTTAGGGCACAGCTGTTCAGAGCCGTGACATCCAGAATAGCCAATTAAATTAAAAAAAGAGGAATATACACAAGACTTTGCTTTTGGTGATTAAAAGGAAAGATCTTCCTAATACTTACTTGAGTATTCTCTCACTGATGTTTAGACTGCACACAAAAAAAAAAATCCACTACATAAATCTCATAAAAATGCAGAAACTAGTCGGGTTGAAACAACAAATTAGTGTCATTTTGGATTTTCCCATGCAGTTTTCTTTTCTCGCAAGACCAGAGGGTATGGTTGAAATAGTAGTGACCACAGCATTCAAAACCTTCCTTCTTATGGTACACCTCCTTTTCATTCCCGTCCTCACAAACCTGCTGGATGAAGCATTTTCATGAAAGAAAAAACACAAACAGAAATATAAAGTTAAATTTATTACTGCACCAGTGTCTTCAAAGAGCTCCATACAAGACAGCTGATCCAAAACGCTGCTGCTCGCATTCTCACTAAAACCAGGTAGCTGGAGCCACCAGCTCCATGTGTGCCATAGGATGGACTTTAAAATAGTGTTGTTAGTTTATAAATTGTCTGTTTCCATGCTAAATTATGTCTGAAAACTCATCTGCTTTGTTTCGTAATAACTGGAACTTCGATCAATTTACTTGATGTACATTTTGATAATGGCAATTGATAGGATGTTACGTGTGTTGGCTGTTGTATTATGTTTTTGTTCTGTAAAAACATAATACATTTATGTAATATATTCATTTCAGCAACAAATGATTTATTGAATCAGGCGCTGCACTTCGGTGTAGTCATCAGCATTTGGTTTTGTTTACAACCGCCTCGCTGATATAGGTCTGGTCCTGTCTTCTTGGATTATGCCACCTACTTGTTTGGCTTTTCTGAAGACATTTTGATTTGCCTCAGCAGTCAAACACACACTCAGTGAGCTGAGTGGAGACGCCTAAGTTTGCTCAGATTTACTGTATTTCTCATGTATCTTAGAAAGCTGACATTTCCCCGCTCCTCTATAAAAATGTTGATAAAATTCACCAAAAGGACATAATGAATGAATAGCAGTCAGCCAGGAAATGGGAATGTGGATTGAAAAAGCTTTAACTCTACTTTGACCTGCGCTGGATCTACAAACACAAAGGGTAGTGAAATTTCAATGTCAGAATGATCCTTTTAAACTTTACCTCGTCTGATTTGTTGATCTCATTGGTTTGGTTGTCAGCACTGAAGTTCTTACTGGAGTTGGGGAAAAAAAAAAAGAATTAGTATCAAATGGAGAAAAATACTACAAAACCAAATGGCAACATGTATTTTTAATTTTTATTGTTGATATGTAACGCCTTCACTTTCTATCTTACAGAAGCAATTCAAACTGTGTGGCAGTCTATTGGGAAAGTAGATAAAGAATTTCATTTGCTGACAAATGTATCTGAAATAATGCATTGTGAAATAGTTATTGACTTAATGCATATTAAAAATTCATCAAAACTGTTTTGGTTACTTTTATTGTCAAAACAGTCCTTATTTAAAAAAAAAAAAAAGAGCAGAGAGAACAAGAATGCATGTAGGATGGACAAAACAGAAATGTAAAAAAATTAAAGGCAAAATATGAACATAGACAAATGTGAATGTCATGCATTAGCGTTTGGTATATTTACTAGACAAGGTGACAAAATGTTATTTCATACCAGTGATTATTTCCAGAAAATGTGGGATCACATGTTAAGTTTTTCTCTGTAAAAGTAAACATAAGTACATTTGCAATTACTTGACGTAAAACAAATATCATTTCACTTTGTGTTTTAATAATTATCAGCATAAATGTACATTTTCAGTGTTGGCCTATTAAAAATGATTCCAACATAAACAGTCCTGCAAGCACTAATTGCCTGCTGTTGTGGAGCAATAGATTTTTTTTTTCTCTTGCAGCCTTTTGTAAGGAAGAAGATTAAAATTACCTTTAAATAGAATAAAACTAAATCCAAATAATTTTCACTTAGAGGTCAGAGTGTATTTGTCATCTATTCTAATGGAGCCACAGCAGTTCAACTTTGAGGAATGTAGTCAATTTTAAAAATGCTATTTTTTTTCACTGACACGTATTATGCCCATGTTTAATGTGATTTTACTTTTCTGTTATTTGTGTTAATTAATTTACATAAATGTTGTGATCTTATGTCAATACTAAATGGGAACTGAAAAGTTTTGTCTTGTTCCTCTGGGACATAGTTTTGCAGTTGCATGCTACTCTGCAAGTGCGTATTCACTTGCTCAACAGTTGCTCGTGGACCAACTGTCCTCATGGACAGTTGGTGTCCAAGTGTCCACATGAGGAGCCAGTTAGCACTCCGGCTAGCTACAAGATGAGACTGGGTTTGAAGTTGCAAACTTGAAATGCATACCTAAGGTTTCTTGCCTACCATCAGGCAAAATCAAGAATAATCTTTTTTACAAATTAAAAAAAAATAAAATGAAAGAAAGGAAAGTGGAGACAGGGCCTAGTCACTTACCACAGACGTTGGAATTATTGATTTTCAGCTGAATCCGAGGAAACACAAACTGGCAACAATTCTCAATAGAAGAGTCAAACAGTTTCCCGTAGCAGCACAGATGGTCAGGAGAACGGTTCTCCAGCACTTTGCCAGTGCAGCAGATGTTCTTCTTTTTATCATAAGGCACTGTTGAAAAGATAAATCCGTGAAACACTTCATTGGTAAATGACCTGTATCTGAATAGACCAGAGGGATACAAAACGCTTCACACTACATTCAGTCATTCATCCAATTCACACACACATTCTCACGCTAGTGATGGAAAGCTACTGGATGGTAGCCACAGCTGCCCACTGACAAAGACGAGGCAGTCATGTACTAGGCCCTCTGACCACCACCAGCAGGCAAGGTGGGTGAAGTGTCTTACCCAAGGACGCAAGGAGACAGGGTTCGAACTGGCAACCCTCCAATCACAGGACAGACTCCTACCACCATCACCCCACAAATTTTACCTGAACTTTAACCCAGTTCAACTACAAAATCTCTATGTAGTGGTATGTACATATGGCCAAGTGGAATGTTTTCTGAGTGTGAAAAACTTTGCAATACCTCTAACTTTACTACGTACCTTCACCACAGCATTTGGCATCATGTGAAGGTTTGGGTTTCACAGTTCGGTTACAGCATATTTCATTAAGTGGGTTGTACGCCACCTCTCCACAGCATTGAGACATCCTTTCACTAAGGCCTTTTGTCAGGTTACCTGAAACACCAAAGGTTCAATGAAAATGTACTCACACAACGATAAAAGAATAAACTGTCCTAAAGAATCCTCTTGGGAAACCTTTGTTAGTATTTAGTCTGGCTATGTTGACTTTACAATTTCTCCTTTCGAAAGTGTATAACTTGTCTTCATGATTGGATCGAAGCGCCTATGTTTACATATCGTAACGCATTTTTTGTTTTTTGTTTTTTTAGCACAGAAGGAAGCAATGACATTCTAAAACCTCACAATCCTATCCCAAAGTTTTTCAAAAACACTTCCCAGGGGATGGTTTTCATAAAGGGGACAAGAGGGCAAGGAAAAGAAGCTGGCCCCCATTTTATCTCAATTTTAAACTTAATTTTTGAGGAAACCATGTAAAATATCTGCACAGGTCATTTTCATTATCAAGCTTATATCAAGATTTTTTGTGGTTTAGCATCATTGTCAACTGGAAAGACTTAATTGAAGAGCTCTCATGTTTCGGACTTTTATGGTCTCACGTGAAATCATTACCTTTTCCATTTTCATGGGGTTTACAGCAAGTGTCTTTTTGAGGATTATAAGGTTTCCCTCCACAGACGAGCTGTAAAGGAAACCCCCATCCCGTGGTTGTTGATCTGCAAAACATAAATAAGAGTAACAAATGTTACAACTGATTGTTTCGTAGCCAATGTTACGGACATTTCAATAAAAATTGTGAAGTTGGTGAAAAATGTATGATTTCAGTTGGTGTTTTAAACAATGGGCTCTTTGATGGGCTTGGATAAAAACAGTTTGGCACAATTAGCACTGAGGGTAACAATTATAGGTCACAAAGAGCACCTCCATTCTGCGATAGCTATGAATAAGCAGTTCTGAAAATTAGCCATTAAAATGTGTATCATACAACTGTAAAGGCAAAAGTAAATAACATTTACTTACTTACTTGTTATGATCACAGGGAAAGATTTTTACACTGACTTTTGTTCTAATTTTCCCCTTCCAATGATGTCCCAATTATAGAGATGGCTGTAAAAATAACCTTAAGATGTAACTCTGCTGTTTCACAACAGAGTTATAAAACAACAGTACGTAACTTCTATAATTAGCATTTATTTAATTTTTTATTCATTTCAGATATTTGTTAAACTGTCACCATGTTGTTGCGGTATAGTACCAGACATATAACTTGTGAAAAGCACTGTCAATCATCCTTGTGTATTCGCTTCTAAATGTGCTAATTGTTCCCAGAAAAACATTTATCCTCCGGTTAACATTAGCTGCCATCATCGGTTTTTCTCAGATTATCTGTCTCATATCATACTATCACAATATATTCATTAACCACATATTTTGTAAATGTTATGCACTGCTGCTTTAAGGGGGCTCTGATCCACTCAGAACGATGTCGGGACCACTCAGATCTAAAATCAGGGATATTCCACACGTTGGATTGTGTTGTGTTGCCCCAAGGATGAATGAAAATGTTGAATGTGGCATGTAGCCAGTCAGAAAGCGAGGAGACAGAAATACAAAGGGGGATTGGAAAAAAAAAAGACTGCCAAGAAAATACAGAAAATCTGGAGGATGTCAGAAATGCTTTCTCTTTTTTTCTCTCTGTTCAAGGCAGTCCACAAACTATCTTCATTGTTCTCGCCCATGCTGCCATGTCGGCTGACTCTGAACTCCCGCTTTGTACGGAGAGGTTTTGCATTTGCTGTGCACTATGCACTCCAGATTGGTCCCTCTGGGCTGTTTGGCACTCTCCACTAATTCCTTACTAAATATAGTTCGTGTTCCTCATTTTTCTCCAGTGGCTCCTTCCGTTTCACTTCATGGTTACCTAATTACTAATTCAGTTCTTCCCCATTGATGTTCTGTTATCTCGGGGGTACTTGGAATATTTGTTTGATTTCATTATTTAAAACATTCTAAACTAAATGGTACCAGTTGTACCAAGGGTTCTATCAACTGTACATATCCCTATGCAAATGTCATGCTTTTGTAATGTCAATTTATTTTTGAAAACTAAACAAATTGATAAGAAATTAACTCACCCTTTCTCATGCGTCCGTGTTTTCACAGGATCTGCAGGAAGCAAATGGTTCAGGTGAACTTATAGTCTAAATGGCTTTCGAGCTGCATAACTTCAAACAATACAACATACTGCAAACGTGAAGTTGCGCACTTATTACATTTTTTATTTTTTATTTATTTATTTATTTATTTTTTTGGGAGGGGGGAATTTCCAAGAACGCGTCAAGTCAAAAGATCGCCATTGTGCTGCAGTTTACTGATCACAGGCAACACAAACTGTCCCTCGGCTCAGACACACACGGGGAACCGATCAGAAAGCAATTCGGTTTCCAAATAAACCTCCGAAGTGAATCTCAGTATGTTTGTTTGTTTTTTGTTTTTTTTTTTCAATTTCTGCGCCTTGGATCCTTTTCGAAGCGCGAACAGTACGCAGCGGGGGTCACCTTCTACAAAGCTGGCACGCACACGATTTGCAAATCAACCTGCGTCTCCGTCCCGATCGCCTCTCCATCTCTTCTCCGAGAGCGGCGGCTCCAACAGAACAGGAGCGCAAAGCTCCTCCAGCAGCACAGCCAAGAGTATTTCCATTAAATGATCACAGGCTAAAGTGCATGTTGTCCCTCCCGTTTTGCCTCTGACGCGCCTAAATAAGTGGCTCCTGCAGAGGCGCGAATTGGACTCGCGTCAGTCTGCGAGACGCGCCGCTTGAGCTCCTGCCGTGCGCGCCTCCCAAAGAACAAGCCGGCCAAGGGAGCAATTTACTCTATTTGATGTGATGGAATAGAGGTTCAGACTCCGGGCATCCCACAGTCACACGTTTCTAAAATCTACTGTCAATTCTGCTTGCATGCACAGACACCGTCAGATATCCAGTTAAAAAAAAAATTAGGTCAGAAGTTTCTCATCATAGAAAATAAGCTCAATATAAATATATACTCACCCCAAAAAGTGAAGAAACCACACACCAGGAGTACTGCCAGGGGACAAAACAGCCACAATAATGTCACTCCACATTTTCTCGCCCGTTTGTGCAAAGTGCGCAGCAGCGGTGACCCCACAGCCCCAAAAAAAGTCTTACCCAGTCTGAGTCTGTTCACAGAAATCATCTTTACCGCATCTGACCTGATAATGATGACTGATGAGATCAGGATCTTAAGGAGCCTTTAATAGGTTCCCGTGAGAAGTCCCACCTCCAATGATATATGCCATTTATAAGCAGTGCCTGGTAACCCAATCCCACGATTACAAAGGTGTTGGATCTGGGAGGAGGGTGGGGGATTCAGCTTTAAGTGAGTTCATCTAGTGTTTTTCATTCGTTTCTTTTATTAATTAATTTGGTAGGGCTTTTAAAATCATCATTTTTAAGGACAATCTACATTTTTTCCACATTTCTCTTTCTCGTTACTTTTACATTTCATGTTGGATCTCCCAAATTTGACAAACTCTCAGTGGACTGATGTTGGGTGATATGTGGATATTTCGTTTCTTTATCTTCCCTGGCATTAGGCGAGGCATATCACAATCACGAACTGAAATTAAAAGCTTCATCCCATCACCAGTGTCTCACCAGTGTTGTTTTTTTTTTTAACAAGAGGATAACATCATTCAATTCATCACAGAGTCCTATCCTGACACTTTCTTGCCCTCTCTGCAGCTATAAAACATAAACGTGACAAGCAAATAAGCCAATTTCATCATGTCTCAATAATATGTAAATATTGTTTTTGAGACACTTTGTATGGAGTTAAATTTGTTTCACAATTAGGCTATTTGATAAAATAAAAAAATAAAAAAAAAACACTTCAAACAAAAGAAGTAGTATTCAATCAAAAAAACATGTCAAAAAAACTTTGGGATTTTCAAAACAAAAATGTTTCAAACAAACAAAAAATAAATATCTCAATGAAATAGTAATAATTTGTTTTAAACAAAGATTTATTTAAAAGCTTATTATTATTATTGAAATGACTCATTTTTGTTTGAAACTTTTATTTTTGCATGTCAGGATTTTTCGGTTGAGTTTAAGATTTTTGAACTCAACGGTTTTTGGTTGCGCATCTCGCATGAACATCCTTTAACCGCTTCTCAGTCTGAAGAAGGTGACTTCAGATGACTGTAAAACACAAGAAGCGGTCCCGTTTTACGTCATCTGACGTGTTTTAAGTCATCTGACGTGTTTTACGTCATCTGAAGTCACCTCAGTGGTTTCCAGGCAAAGGCCAACAATTTCCTAAAGTCTTAGGAAGATGTGGGTAAAGGGGGCGAGCTCCTAAAGTGGATTTATGTTGACAGGAAAAAAATATTGAGACGTTTTCCTATTGAGCAGCGCTGCCTAAAGCGGATGACTCCGACTTTCTGCGATCTCATAACGCCATCCCGAACACAGCTGGGCTTCGGTGACGGGACACAGAATGTGAATGGAAAGTAATCTTCACGATATTACACCGTTTAGCAGCTGCTAAAGTGTCCACCCTGTTTCAAAGAAGAACTCTTACACAACTTATGACGAGAGCCACATGTTTTGTCTGCCGCGATCCGCGCTAGCATATCGTGCTAGCTAGCTAATGTTAGCACTAGGTAAAGTGCTTAAACGAGGCTTGTGTGATGTGATCTTAATGTTGAACTCGTTAACCAGCGCACCTCTGTCGAGTGGCATTAAGCGTGGCCACTTAATGGGAAATACATTTGGTATTTCCCCAGATACCAAATGTATCTGGGGAAATACGTGTTCAAAACTGTTGTGTAATCCTCCGTGTCAGTGGCGGAGCCAGAGGGGTAGCAGGGGTGGCATTTGCCACCCCACTGGACTTGAAATGGTAATTTTTAAAATATAATACTTATGAGATCGGAAAAGATTTACCAGGAGAAGTGTGATTTCCGACTGTCCCTGAAGGCAGCCCGTTGCAGTAGCAGCCTACATCCTGAATGTCTGGCTGAGAAACAGCCACAGTTTAACCTGAGTTCATCAAACACTTTTCCTCATCAAAAACGTCTTTTATGAGGAAAACACTGTTGAGCAGATTTAATGGAAACTGGGTGATTGTGTTTTGCACATTGTTAAGCCTTTATCAATTACAGCCACATTGGCTGAAGCTAGTCTAAATTGTTGGAAAAATGTATATTTGTCTTAATATGAATGAATTTATTTGGAAATATTTTGATGGTTTGAAAGATCTCCTTCGCTAGAAAGCATGAATCACGTCAGAGCTTTTCCTGGTTACCACAGCAATAGCAACTAATGTTACACCTCTACCTAACTGATGATGTCACTAGGATCCCATGCTTTGTGTCAAAGGTTCTATGACATCACCTCTGAAGCCTCTTAAATAGTGATGCGTGTGTTCTAGAGTCATATGTGCAGAACCCCACAGATTGATAGTGAGATTCATTATGACGGCACAAAAACTTGAGAAAGAAACACACGAGTTGACCAAAAGGCTTCTGCCTTTTATCACTACAAAAAATGGAAGACCTAATTTAAATCAACACTCCCAATTTGTAGGGAAAGATAATTATTTGGGCACTTTATTGGAAAGGTTGCCAACACTTCCAAAATATTTAGAGCAACAAAGGAAAGAGGAAGAACGACGGAAGAAAGAGGAAGAACGACGGAAGAAAAAAGAAGCCAAAGAAAAGAAGCCAAAAGAGAAAAAACCCGAAACAGCTGACTCCTCCTCGACCTCTGACTCTGAATCGAGCCAAAGTTCCTGCTCCACTTCCAGCTCCATTTCAGAAGAGGGAATCGATATTAAGACAGCGATTGAACTGGACAACGAACTCAGGAGAAAAATTGATTATAAAAAGAAACTGGAAGCCTTAGTTAAAAAAGGAGAGGAACAGAAGAAGAGGACTGGAAAACAATTTATTTATGAAAAAGAATTGATCATTTGGAGAGAAGAACAGAGGAAGAAAATCATCAAAGAAACAAGAAGACAGAAGGATAAACTACCAGAGACGCTTAAAAAGACGAAACGAGAAGTTTTTGATTTGCCCAGATCTGAAGTTGTGAAAAAACACAACTTCAGATCTGCCAAAGATGCTTTGGAGGGACAAAAGTTTTATAAGGACCTGGCTCCGCAGAGGATTCCCCAAAGGTTCCTTGATGAACAGGAGAGACAAAAGAAAGCTGAAATGCAAAAATCTTTGACTGCTGCTTGGGATGATCAAGTTGAATACAAACGGCAGAAGAAGATGGAAATGGAGAAGATGAAAAAGCAGGAGTTACATTCCTTGATGGAATCGGACCGGCTGCATAGGTTGGAAGAAATTGAGAAAAAGAAAGAGAAGCAGCAGAGATTCAAACCAGTCATTAGGGAGGAAATTATAAGACAGAGAGAAATATTTCACAGTGTTGGTGGCCCAAAGGAAGGCTTCCAGTCCACATCGGTGTTTGTACAACACAAGAGTGAGAGCAGGTTTCCTGAACTGGTCCCATCTCCAGAGGACAGTAAAAATGTTGTTCAGAAAAAAACAGTTTATCACAAAGTTCAGGAGACTCTGCCAGCAGCAGCACCAGAGAGAACTGGGTCCACGTCCCTTGTGGGAAGAAGAATGGTGCATTCTGCTGACAAACCGGATGTTCATGCTGGCCACAAACATGATGTGCATTTTGGTTACAAACCTTATCTGCATTCTTATCAAAAACCTGACGCCTATTCTCCTGAGCTAGAAGAGATGCGATCAAATGACAAACTTGACGCGTTATCTCTTGAGAAACATGATGGACATCCTACTGACAAACATCATGGACATTCTACTCACAAACATCACAGGCATCCTACAGACAAACATCATGGACATCCTACAGACAAACATCATGGACATCCTACAGTCAAACATCATGGACATCCTACAGACAAACATCATGGACATCCTACAGACAAACATCATGGGCATCCTACAGACAAACATCATGGACATCCTACAGACAAACATCATGGACATCCTACAGACAAACATCATGGACATCCTACAGACAAACATCACAAGCATCCTACAGACAAACATCACATGCCTTGTACTCGCAGATATTTTGGGCAAAATCCTCAAGACTTTCTTGGGCTTCCTACTTTTGGACATCAAGGTCATCCTGTTGACAACCATGGCGACGTAAAATCCAGCAGTCCTTCACTCGGTCTTGAGAAAGTTAGCGGTACCGAGCCTGTCAAACTTCCCTCACTGAAATCCAAGACTGTGCGCTTCCGTGACAATTCCCCACAGAGTAGTAAGGGGGTAAAATTGCCATCTATCCCAGAATCGACTGAATGATGTTTCTCAGCTGGCCAAGGAGTGCGACCCAAGTGGTTCAACTTTGAACTAACATCTTTGTGAGATTGTTTGTCAGCTATGTTAGACATATATTAGCAAATTTAAGTAATTATAATAGGTTTTCGCTGGGTGCTCCAGTTTCCCTACAAAAATAACACAGGTACATAGATGGGTAGATAGATATTGTCTGTAATTTTCTTTATTACTAAAATTAAGTAATCGTACTTTAAATAAAGGTTTTCTCCGGGCACTCCGGTTTCCCTACAAAAATGGTGGATAGTCAAGACAGACAGATCGATAGATCAATAGATATCTATCTATATATATGTATCTGTCTATAGACAGATATTGTCTATAATTTTCTTTAAAAGTAAAATTAAGTAATCATACTTTAAATGAAGGTTTTCTCCGGGTACTCCGGTTTCCCTAAAAAAACGATAGACAGACAGAAAGATATCTATATCTATATAGATATATCTATAGATGTTTTTGATATCTGTATATAGATATATCTATATTTAAATAGATAGATCTATAGATCTGTAGATAGACAGACCGACAGATAAATGGATACATAGATCTATTTATCTATAGATCTAGATAGATAGATCTACCTTAATAGATCTATCTAGTTAGCTAGATAGAGCTATCCAGATCTATCTATAGATCCAGATGGATAGATAGCTATCTCTTGACCTATATCTCTTGAGCTATCTGGATAGATACATCATCTAGATCTAGATAGATCAATATCTATCTAGAAAGATAGATGATAGATATAGATCTATAGCTAGATTGCTCTACATAGATCTCTTGGTATATAGATATCTTTTTATCT